GGTCTTAGTCTTATAATTTTTGGTTTTATTTTTTCTTTTGGGAAAACCAACCATTTTATCTTAGGACAGAAAATTATTATGTAAGATTTTTTTCACACACAATTACCTTTTAAAATTTATATTTTGATTGAAAACCTATATATTATTAGTCTTTTTATAAGATTTAAGATGCTAGAAGGAACTTATTTAACAATTTGTTTTAATTTTTTAACTTGAGTATTAACCAGACATTTAATGAGTACCTAATATTTAACTTAATGTAAGGTAACTTTAAGATTTTAAGTTATATGAAAACTTCATTTATAAACATTTATTTTATCAGTAATCATCTAATTTATTTATTAACAATTATATCTGAATTACTTATGAAAATTCAGATATTAGAGCTACTCATTTTAAGTATTTTTTACTGACCAATTTGTAGCTGGTTAATATCAGATGTTAATCTAAGAAGCCTGAAGTTAAATGCATGTACATCTCATCTTTAACCCAGAAGATATATTTGTATTAAATCATAATTAACTTTTAATTAAATATATTATTAATTTAATAATTGACAGCAAACCATTATTTAATAATGTAATTAAAATAATATAAATTAATAATCTGATAAATTATTAATAATTGATTGATTAAATCATTAATTTAATATAGATTTTGAAATTAATCTTATTTATTAAAAATTATTTATCAAAATAATATATCAAATATTATTTTGTTTTAAGTTGGGTTTATAGGTTTATGACTTTAAAATATCTAGTAGGGGCAAATATAAAACTGACCAGTTAACTCAGGCAAAAATGTATGCTGGCAATTTTGAAACCATTTCTAATGCTATTTTATTAACAAATTAAAAACAATCTATTTATTTGAGATTTAAGTCAATCTCAAACTTTGAGATTATGTAAACTAAAGAAAACATTTGTGTAATTAAAATACATTTTATGTGAGTGCCCATTTATCTAAATAAAAATTTTAAAGAAATTTCTGTCCAGCAACAGCATATTTTATCATTTAGACTTAATATATAATGTAACATATGTACATTTGTAGAAACACTTCTAAACGTATATATATATATCTATCTAGAGACCTTATAGCTTAGATTTTCGATTTTAGTCATAAAATAGTAAAGCATATTAACTCATCAGTTGATTAAAAGCAATCGTATCTAAATCTTTTTTTTTTTTTTTTGACAAAATGGGATAAGGCTAAACCTTAAGTTTTGTTTTCTTTTACTCTGACTTTGTCAATAAGCAATTTTACAAAGGCCGTGAACTAACTTTTGGGGAAAGATGGTTGAGTCAGTTACCAACATACTGGATCGGACAAGGAATAGTTAACTTTGAGAATGTGACTCAATTAAGTGAGGAGTTCCCCAGAAGATTTTAACAAGGTTCATACAGTGTTTTCTTGGTCTCAATTGCTTGTCTTTGGTCATAATAATGTTGCCATTCCTTTCAGTATAGGAAAAGTGTCTTTTACATGGGAATTTCACCTTTTGCTTTTAAGAAACAGCATAAAAGTAAAAATGATTTTCTTTTATATTTTCTGACTTTCAAGTGTTTTTACTTAAATAATCAGTATGCCAGAATATTTGAGGAGTTTGGAAAGAGTTTAGCTTAGAGAAAGATGAAGAGGAAGAATTATAAGAGAAGAAGAAAGAACTGGAGAGGAAAGAGTCTCAGCTAGCTTTGAGATAGTATTTTGTAGTGACGCAATCAATTGCGATATGAGGCTTATTTGGAGTGCATAATTTTATAGCCGTGATCGTTTAGTTTAGATTTAAGAACAGAGTGTTGAATGATCTCTGTAATATTTGAACATGTTACCAGTTAGAGTCACAAAAAATACCTTGGCATGCCTTTAAACTTTGAGAATCCGTTTGTAACTAAATTTATCTAGGTGATTTTGTTTAATGCCAAATACACAAAAGCCAGTTAAATGCAAGCACTGATTATGAAAAGGCCAAATAAACCCAAGACGGAAGATCAGCTGCCTTCTTCAATTGAAGGAAAAAATTAAAAATGCTTTTGGCGAGGCTTCAGCCTGAAAAGAGAAATCCCGTCACCCAGACGTCACAGCTGAGGTCTGCCAGGAGGAAAATAGTCCTCCCTAACAGAAGACCTTCCAACCAGAGGGAGAAAGAGGTCTCTGAAACAAGAAGAGGAAAGACTCCTCCTCATCTAAAATCCAAATAAAACAGAAGCAAACTAAAATTGGGAGTTCAGTCCAAGAGACTCACCAGGGAGAAATGAGGCAACCTGCAGCAATAGTGGGGTCACAGGAGTCAATAAGCCCCAGTGTGAGTACATCATGCCCTGGCCCTGTGGGCCAGTGTTTCTCCCTAAGCTGCGTCAGCTTTGGAACCCAGCTTGACACTAAGTAGGTCAAAATCCAAATAAAATGTAGGGACAGATCTCTACATTTAAAATATTTTATTAGAGAGGTAAGAATTGTGATTTGGCCTAAATGCGAGGACCAGGGGTGTTTGGTTTGTCTAGAACAAAACGAAGGTTGGAGGTGTTATTAAAAAAAAAAAAAAGTTACGTATTGGTTTGAAAGAAAGTTTATTGGCTCTAGTAAAGTTTTGAGGAGCTGGCACGTTCTGACTGGTGTGTGACAGTGGTGGGTAAAACCAGTCTTGCAGTCACAGTAGGTTGTTTTAATAGCTGTTAGATAAAATTGGTTTTAGGTAACAACAGGTAGTTTTAGCAACTAGGTTTGTAGAGAATTATATTTTTGAAGCAATGCTATGTGTCCTGAGTGCCTTTTCCCCCTGGATTGTCTACACTGTTTTAGTTGCATATGACAAGAATGACCCCATTTGTTTGATCAACTTGTACAGATCAAAGAAAGTTTAATTTTCTTTTGGGTAAAGCCAATTAGCAAACACATACGGTGTATGATCTCCTCCTCACCTTCACTCTTAAAGCTTCCACCCGCTTTGTTTTGACAGATTTTAGTTCAGACTGAGTCCTAGTCTCTTTTCCCTGTTGTAATCGTCTTGAATAAAATAGCCATTATCCATGTAACATTGTTCAGTGCCATTCTTGCTCTGTCAGGAGGTACTTCATCTTTCCATTTACATCTTTGTGGACTCCCAGTTTCACATTTTGTTCAATAGGCTATAATCTCCTATTCTGGTACTCAAATTGTTCCATATTGGGTCATGAAAGTCCTATCTAAGTGCCATGTCTATCCTTGATCCCTACAATTGTTTTCTGGTTTACAGGTAAAAAAAGAAAAGAAAAAGAAAGAAAGACAAGAAAGAAAGAAAGGAAGGAAGGAAGGAAGGAAGGAAGGAAGGAAGGAAGGAAGGAAGGAAGG